AGATGAGTACGAGGAGGGACTCGGAATGCGGCGTGAAACAAGGAAGAGGCAAGTCAGAGGCATGGATTTGCATTGTACAGTATTTGCAGTCTCAGATTGCCCGCCGCGGTCGGGATACGTGACCTATCATATGTAGGTGATTAAGCAGCAGGAGCAACGGCCGAAAGCAAGGATAGTACAGTGTATAAGAGTGTATCCCCGGCTCCGACCGGAGAGGGAGGGAGGAGGGCTTTGTCCGAATCGTAAGTCGGCCCTTGCCAATGCCAGGGATGCCGTTCCCTCCGTGAAAAACACGTGAGAAGCTGTGTGCCATGCAGGAGTCGAGGATGGCGCTTGCGCCGCTACGATGAGTAGTACAGAATTGCGGCGGCCACGAACGCGTACACGAACGGCTGATTATGTAAGCTATTGCACGGTACGGGCGATTCAATCGCTCTAACACAGGGACGTCATTCCGTAAGTATAGGGCGGTCTCCGACAACTTCTCGTTCTGAAATAGAACCACGCTCACCAGGTAAAGTTCTTTAGTTTAGTGACAGTGAAAGCGGTGAACGCTCAACGTCAATGATCAACGCGGTCACCTGACAGACGCGTACAACCGTCATGGAATCTCAGATTTGTCAAGTAGATCCAAGAGCGACAACATAAGCCAGATCCCCAGGTTGCCAGATGGACGGTACCAGGTATGCATTACTTGGTGAACACGCGCTGTATAAAAGCCAGTAGGTACCGATTTGTCTCCTCCGGTGCCTCAGCTTGAGGTGCATGCCCCACTCCCTGTATGAGTTTCACATCCATGTCCACATAGATTTCCTTCGCCTGCGCGATCATCCTCTCATACAGACAGTGTGTATCCTTCGTTCCCTGCACGATGAGGACAGGGATATTCCGCGCGGTCTCGCGCCACAGACTGTCGTCCTGCTCGCGGGTCAGTGAGTAGTGGCGGATGATGGGCGGCTGCATCCCGAATCCGCCGACAAGGCCCATCTTGACCTCAAAGCTGAGCGACGCTGGGTCCGCGAAGCAGGACTCGACGAATGGTACCGCTGACTTTGCTGCTACTTGGGCGTCCGGAGAGCATATCAACGGAATCAGCGCAAGGAAGGACGGGTGCCAGCATTCCTCGTTGAGCTTTAGAGAGAGGACGGCACCCCCATTGTAGATGATGCCTGCGATGTAGTCTGGCCCGTAGTATCGGACGATGTCCACTGGGATGCTACCTGTTCATTGGTTCAGTGCGCTCATCCACAACTCTCAGTATGCATGCCCTACCGCCGAGACTCCTGGCGCAAGACACGATCGATGAGCACAACCACCTGCAAGCTCTCTAGATTTCTCACTCACCACCCGAGCACAATCGGTCTGACAAGGCCAAACGCTTCGCACACGGTACGAAAGTCTTCAGCATGTCGAAGGGATCGATATGCCTCGATATCCTCTGGTTTTCCGCTTCGACCGTGCCCTCGCATCTCGTACCTCACCAGATGCGCGTTACTGAGCAGCATCGGATCGGTGAACTGCGCGTTGAATCCCAGCGCAGTGCAAGCTAGACCATGAATGAAGACGAGGGCAGGTTTTGCAGGATCCCCTGCATCTTCTGCCCATATCTCTGTGCCGTCCAACGAGGCGAGGAGCTTCTGTCGGGAAGACATTGGCCTTTGGGTGGACGGTCGGTCAACTGGTCATATCTAGCTATAATATGGGTTTTACCTCTTTGACCGTCGGCACTCCGCTGCGCACAAGTGACCACAGTTCTTCTCTGGTTCTTCTCATGACCGTGTTCTGACCGGCTTAGCGCCCTACTTTGGAGAGATGGCAGCTCCTGACACCGTTCTCACCCACCTACCGGTCCGTGCATCATTAGACACGCACGTTAAGTAGAAGTATTCGAATTCTACTTAGCGAGTTGGTAGGAGGAACGGTAGCGAGGCGACCGCTCCGGCGCTAACCAGTTATTCCCACGGAGCATTGTGAGGACGTGCGGCAGCGTGGCTCAGGCGCTCATTTGCAACCTTCATACGACCGGGTCGTATGTCTTAGCCTCCTCTTCCTCCTTCAACATGGGGTACGGTGCACCCAAGCTCCTCTTTGTCACCGCACTTGCGATCAACTGCATCCTGTGGTCGCACAGTCGCTACGGGCAAGTCTACTCGGTCCGCACGCAACCCGCCGCACTTGCGCATGCGAAGCGGAGTCTGTTCGATGCAGGGTATGTGAACGGGACCTCTTTGGCGGGTCTGGGCAAGGACGCCGACGAAGAAGTGAGTACTGCACATTGTGGACCAGGTTCTGAATGCTCAAAGCACTCGTCGCAATGATAGCAATGCTTCCCAATCACTGTGCCTGTAAAGGACCAATGCGCACATATCATCGACTCGTGTCCAGACACTCGGACATTTCTGTCGATACCCTACCTGAAAACATACTTCTGTGCTGATGTCTCCTTCCGGCCACTGCTCTTCTCCGGATATCTCGTCTGGCTCGTCTTCATATTCTCCACGCTCGGTATCAGTGCCGCCGACTTCTTCTGCCCGAACCTCGCCACGCTCGCACAGCTGCTTGGTCTGGACGAGAACATGGCAGGCGTCACCTTCCTCGCGTTCGGGAACGGAAGCCCGGACGTGTTCGCCACGTTCTCCGCCATGAAGGCGAACTCGGGCGGCCTGGCGATTGGCGAGCTGCTCGGTGCTGCGACGTTTGTGGTCTCGTGCGTCGCTGGCTCGCTGTGTATCATCAAGCCGTTCCGAGTACTGCCCTACCGCTTCTTCCGCGATGTCGGATTCTTCACGGTAGCCGTCGCGATACTGCTCGTGGTGCTCTGGGACAGCGAGCTCGAGGCTTGGGAGGCAGCTGCACTCATCTCTCTGTACTTGCTGTACGTCGTGGTCGTTGTTGGCGGGAGCTTCTGGGAGAAGCGAATGGAGCGCAGACGGCGACATGAAGAGCTCATGCGGGACGAGTTCAGGGAGGAAGCAATCGTAACTACCCCATACCACGACGAGGAGCCGTATAGGGACGACCGTGAGTGTACTGTAATCTCCTTTCGGTTGCGATGCTCACAGTTGAGCAGCCTTCACTGCTCTTGCACCATCTTCCACCCTCGAGGTCCCTACACCATACACGCGGACCCGTGCTATCTCGCATCCTGGCCCTCCTCGTTTGGGTCTGGAAACGGAACTCCCACCCAGACCTCGGACGCGTTCTCCCTCCCCACATAGCAGCCCACACCTGAGCGCGATGCCATCTTTCTCGTTGGTTGGCGCCCTCGAGTTCCGCCGCATTGTCTCGTCGCTTCAGCAGGAAGCGGCGGGCTCCGCGCTCAGCGTGTTCGACACACCATCTCCCTATCCGGGCGGCCACTACCACCGCCATGGCGGGTCGCGCTCGCGCTCGCGTTCTCATACTCCTAACTCAGAGATTCGAGATCCGTGGGATGCCGCGCTCGGTGTGCCCCTGGACGAACGCTCGCCGCCCCGAATAGTTGCTCCACCTCGAGAGCCGACAGAGGAGATGCCACCTATACCAATCATCTCACATACCCCCGCGTCGCCTGTCGTCTCCGAGACGGACACGGACGTGCAGTCTGAGCACATCACTCAGTCCTCGCGGCGGCACTCGATCACACGTGTGTTGGGACACGCCTTCCACCTAATCTTCCCTACGCTACACGGCTTCCGTGCGAAGCCCTTCTTGGGCAAGGTTGCCGCCATTCTCGCGGCGCCGGCTGTGATGATGCTCACGCTGACATTGCCTGTGGTGGTGACGGCGTACGACGACGTTGGGCGGGAACGCGAGAAGCACCATGAGCGGAGCGTTCTGGACATCAACGACAGTCGACTCGTGGACTTTGAAGAGGAGGGCGTTGAGCGTGCGCTGATTGCGGAAGAGGAAGTTGCGGAAGAGATGCACGAACTGAAGTTCAACAAATGGCTTATGGCCGTGCAATGCACGCTTGGGCCGCTATTCGGCGCTGCCATCTTGTTTGGTGCGTCGCTTGGTACGATCAGTATGTTTGGTGTCTGACGAGCGGTTGGTAGATGGGACGAAGCATGAACCATGGTTGCTTCTAGCAACAGGCGTAGCGGGCTTTACCATTGGCATACTGGTGCTAGTCTTCTCGGACAAGGGCACGCATCCAACAGCGCTGCTCGCTCGCTGTATTATGGGGTTCATGGTTGCCGTAGTCTGGATCATGGCCATAGCGGATGAAGTAGTGGAAGTGCTGACCGTACGCCTTTCTACTTTTTCCTTCGCTTGTCCATTGCTCACGATTTTTTCGCTAGACATTTGGGTTCATCTTCGGCCTCTCTGACGCAATCATTGGACTGACAATATTCGCCGTCGGAAACTCGCTCGCGGACCTCGTGGCGAACATGAGTGTTGCTGTAAGCGATAGTCCTCACTCGGTCCACTCGGTCCTCACGCTGCTCCAGGTATTCGCCCCGATTATGGGCTTCTCCGCATGCTTTGGTGGACCCATGCTCAACATCCTACTCGGTATCGGCATCTCCGGATCCTACATCATCCGTCAAACCGCCGAGCCATACTACCTGCATTTCTCCACGACTCTCGTCGTCACCGGGTGTGGGCTCCTCGCCCTGCTGCTTGCGACGCTCGTCTTCGTACCACTGAACGGCTTCTTCCTACCGCGCAGCTGGGGCATCGCCCTGATTGTCGCCTACACGGTGATCATGATCACGAATGTTGTCGTGGAGATCAAGAGCAAGAGCTGAGTAGGAGCCGCATAGACAATGGACTGCTGTCGGAGCTATCTGTGATCTGGTGTTGCATATCTATCGTATCAGAGCTGATAATGCGTTGTATTTGAATCACAGTGTACTGTACTATGCAATTCAAGGCAGTGATAAACTGGACATTAATGACTTGACATGCGCGAGGGCAGTGGGTGGTGTTGGACGCGGAGGGGATGAGCACTTGTAAGGCACGTGATTTGATCGCGTACGTGGCACGACTGTGGCGTGTCCCGAGCGCGACGCGCGTCGCAACGTGGAACTTGAAGGTCGTCCAGAGGCGCAGCTGGTGTCCATCCGTTCCTGCGTGAGGCTAGTCCTGTCCGTTCACTACCGAAGATGTGGTCTACGTTCTGGCCACTGCTGTGTCTACTTCTCCTGGCCGCCGTAACGGAGGCTGCCGACCTCTACAGAGCCCTCGAGCGTTAGTCCAAGGCGCGCATCCTCTCGGTTGGGCCAACGGCTCACTCATGCGGTCGCTCTATTACAGTGTCGAAATCAGCCTCTGAACAGGATATCCGGAAAGCATACAAGAAGCTGAGGTGAGGAAGTGCTGTACTTGCACACAAGGCCGGCTTGTTGAGAGCAAAACAGTCGCAAGTACCACCCCGACCGGAATCAGGAACCGGGTGCGGAAGAGAAGTTCATTGAGGTTGCACATGGTATGTTGATTCACCTTTCCCTGTGTGCTATGCTCACTATGGCACACCTTCAGCATACGAGGTTCTATCGGACCCCGAAGTGAGCGATACCTGACTCAATGACTTACCCTATATATGATGCTGAGATCTCATGCAGAAACGACAAGTATATGACCGTTATGGGGAGGTACGCCCATGAAGGCTGTCGCACGGTCGGTCTACGTGCTCACACGCCATTTTGTCTCGTAGGACGGCCTGAAAGCCAACGAGGGAGGGCGACATGCAGGCAATCCATTCGACATCTTCCAAAATTTCTTCGGCGGCGGCTGTGAGTGATGCACGAGACTTGCTCTCGGAAACGTCATCCGATTAATTCGCAACCCTCAGTCTCTGCGCAACAACAGGTCCGGAAAGGGCCAACCGTACACTTTGATGTCGAAGTCACGCTGGAAGACATGTAAGCTTCAATGCCAACTCTCCATCCTGCGCAAACTCACGAGCGCACGCAGTTACACAGGGAATCACGTAGAAGTAGGCAATCCGATCGCACGACCGATTTGCCGCTGACCACTGTGCTGGCTTAGCTGCCCGTCCACAAACACATTCTCTGTGATCACTGCCGAGGGACGGGCGCCGCCTCCTCCGGGGACATCCACACCTGCCCCGCATGCAATGGCGCCGGCGTACAAGTTGTCCGGCAACAAATCATGCCCGGGATGTGGTCTCAGGCGCAAGTCACCTGCAACCAGTGCGGCGGGCGCGGGAACATTATCACGCGCAAGTGCCCGCACTGCGACGGTGCGAAGGTCACCGAACACACGCATGTGTACTCGATCGAGATCCCCGCGGGCGCGCCAGAGGGGTACCAGATCGTGCTGGAGAGCGAGGGCGACGAGAGTCCGGACTATGAGCCTGGGGATATTGTTTTGCGGATTAGGAGCAGGAAGACTCAGGGCTCGTGGAGGCGGAAAGAGTCTGCGCTGTACTGGAAGGAGACAATCGGGGTCGATGAGGTGCGTCTTGCGCTGTTTCACCTCGGGAAGAGGAGCTAAAGGAGACCAGGCCCTTCTTGGCTTCGAGCGTAACATTACACATCTGGATGGCCACGTAGTACACATCAAGCGCGACGTCGTGACGCAGCCAGGTAAGCACTTGTTGCGTATATCTGAGGTGATGCATCCACTCATTCTGCCATGTCAGGTTTCGTCGAGGTCGTGGACGGCGAAGGCATGCCCACACCCGAGCACAAACACTCTCACGGCAATTTGTACGTTGAGTATACTGTCGTCCTACCGACGGAGGTGTCGCCCGAGAAGAGACGCCGTGAGTATCGCAATACGGTCACCGAGGCGTTTACACTGACGTGCCTTGCCAGAGCTACTGAAGGTCTTCCGTGGGGCGGAAGAGGGACATAAGGATGAGCTCTGATATCTGAATCACCTACCCTTCCTGCCTCTGCACGTCCTAGACTAGTGGTATGGTACTACAATAGAATTAGATTGTGCACTGCACGGTAATTTATTTTATAATGTGATCCTCAGGATGTCAGCAAGGGAGGTTTCTACGCGTTCGAAGGTTCGTGGAAGAGCAGAGTAATAAATGATTGCAGGAATGAAAGTGGTGGTACAATGAGGTGTTGATGTACACTATCCTTATTCTACTACACACATCTGCAGGAAACAGGTTATGCCTGACAGCGTCCTTAGCACGGCATGTCAGCAGAGTCAGAGAATGACAACTGCTTACCAGGTAGTTATATGACTTGCGGTCTTCGCATCGTTCCAAGTACTCTCGCTACAACATCATCAGCACAAGATTCGCGTTGTATGTGGCACAGTATGACACACCTCGATGAGTCCTTCGACGCGCTTCTTGATGCTCAATGGATTTGGTAGGAATCGACTGGATAGCTGCCGAGTAACCTCGTTTACGAGGTCGTTATGGGTCATATGTTTGCGGTTCTTCATGATTCGTACAATGCACGCCTGGATCATGGACGGGTGCATGAATACCCTTACCAGTCAGCGATGCCGTTACAACACACGTACCTCCGTTTGATGCCGCCGCTCCTCCTCCACCCTATCCTTCGTCTCCCTCCTCTCGTCTGTGTTCTCGACTCGCGAAGCGACCGTGCTAATTTTGATCTTCTGCAGTGGCGCGGAGAACTCGGCGTTGAATGTGAACTTGTCTTCTGGGCTCACTTCCCGGCCGGACGGGTGTTTCTTGAGAATCTTGTACTTTGCGCATGCGAGCGACTGTAGATTGCGCTGGAGGTCCGTGTCTGGGATGGCTGTTGCCGATTTGATATCCTACGAACATATATCAGGGGGAAAAGGCAATACGAGTCGTATGCGGTGGTTGGCTGACCTGATAGCTCAATGACGTGCCATCTGCGGCGTCCTCGAACAGAAGCAAGATGACGAGCGCATACGTCGACACATTCAGGTCGTGACTCCGCGAGTTGAATCTCACTCGAATGTCAGCGTTGCCCATTGATGGCTGCCACGTTAGTCGTCGGCCGGAGTGGCGGGACAGGTAGAACTGTTCAAAAGACTTCGCGGGTTTGAGCAGCTCGGCGGGAAAGTTACAAGGTGAGCCGGAGTGCGACATAGGCCAGAACGTCGATGTCATGACGATGACCGCGATCTCAACATCCGGTGCCTGCAGGGGGGTCTTAGCGCTTGGGTGTATGAGAATGAGAAAAGACAATTACCGTAGTCGTTGCAAGATGGTTACGGTACGCGTGCATAGTGTCCGCGGAAATCTTCATGTCATGGAACATACCCTCGAGCTTCTGCGTGAACTGGTAGCCGCACTCGACCTTGAGCTTCGCAAGCATGCCCCGCTCAGCATCGTCGGACACGGATCGCCCGAGCAGGAGCCGCTTGGCGAGATGGCCTTTGTAGTACCGTTCAAAGACATCCTTGTCGGAAAGGAAGCGGAAGATCGTGATTGTCTTGTCGAGAACGGCGTCCACCTCCGTGTCGGTTTTCTGAGCTAACCATGAGCAACGTTCTTCCAGGCAGCGTCATGAGACTCACCCCTTTCAGACCCTTCTTGAGATTGTCGTCAATAAACAGCGAAATAAACTCGGGGGCTTTCTCATGCATGTTGATAAAGGTTCCAAATGCCTGAAAGAAGATTTAACGCATTAGGTCCACGTATATGCGTGGTACGTACCTCGTCGATGCTACTCTCAACGTCATGGTCGCTTTGGAAGCCGCCGACCCATATCTTGTCGAACTTGTCCTTCATGTCCAAGACGTCTTGTACCCACTTCAGCGCAAGCGAGAGTACCTGTGAGCCGGCATTCGCAGCCCGTGCTTTGCCTTTGCCCTTCGCCTTGCTACTCTTCTCCATGTCCTCGTCCTCCTGCGCATCCTCTCCCTCGAACAATAGACTTGCAGAGTTGATGTCCTTTCCTCGTCGAATGACCGTCTCTCTGAGAGCCTTGCGGAGGGTGGTGATACCAGCGGGCACCATGGCGAACAGTCGGTAGAGACGTGCGAGATCGTCGATCTTGTCCAGGTCTATCATCACATCTAGACCAGAGTTAGGCATGGCGATTATGGTGGAAAGGTGTGGGTTGATGAGCTCCTCTTCCAGTATTCGACGTAGAGGCTGGCTGGTCTGTGATGACAAGAAGTGATGGGCTCGTGATTCTTCCTGGTCTAATCGACTCTCAACCTAGTGATGGTCAGCGGGATATCCTCATACCTGTGACGAAAACTACCTACTCGTCGTAGGTACTCAGGGGCATCGCAAGTTTCCAGAAGATGCTCGCCCTCCTTCTCGTAGAAGGCCTCGCTTTCTTTCAGGAGAACAGGTTCCAAATCTCGTTTGTACACAGAGACATCCTCCCGCTCGTCGAACAGCTGCAGAAGCACGTCCACGCAACCTTTCACGGCGGAGCGGTTTATTACATACCCATCGCGTTCCGTCTGTATCTGGGTTAATATTGCCGAGATGATGTGCCCCTGTATGGGCGAGCGTAGGATGTGCTCGATGAACAAGAGCAGCCCTGCCTCCCATATTTCTGGCACTTGTTTGGATTTCGTGTAAACGCGATCCTGCTACCATTCCATAAACGAGCAAGGTGGCGCAACGTGAAGACGTACCATATACTTCAAAACGTCTCGCAACTTGGACAGACTAGACGTATGATCATCCCACACCTTCTTCACCGCCTTCAGGAGCAGCTCTCCGGCCTGTGCCTTCTCAACCGGATCGTCGTCGACATGGGCGGGGAATGCCGGTATGATGTACTCGTTCGCGAGCCTATCGAGGTTGTCCGCTATGAGCTTCTTCGTCCCCTGGTACAACGTCTCTCCGTGTTTGTAGAGGACCATATTATACGCGAAACGATGGTTCTCTTCGTACGAGAGGTTGGCGGCATTGTGATTCTGGATCTCGACGATGTTCCTAGACAGCTTTGCCCATGTATCGTCTATTGAGAACTCCGGTCCATGCTGCCGAGCATATATGCTCAGTGTGAGGTAGATATAAGTGTATGGACTGGAGTCCTACCTTCTTCGCCGGTTTCTATCGTAAATAGTTAGCTGCATCCAACCCGGAAGTGTAACATACTGACGATCTTCGGTTTCACTCGTGCGCGCGGTACTATCGTGCCCATGCTTGAGAAGAGATATTTACGCGTAATCAGAACGCTCACCTGCTGCCATAGCCCTTCCGTATATATCTTACACCGTGTCTGGTGAACAGTTCCGTAACGCCTGCTCACTTTCGCGACTGCGTGATCGCGGCCAGCTTGCTTGTCTAAACAAGGGATTGAAAGCGCAACAGGATGAGAATGCGCTAGAACGCAGGTATGCCCTGAGATACGCGAGAGATGAGGATGGGAAACGGTCTGAGCAGCACCGTGCAGTGAAGACAGCGTTGCAGCCACCGCGTACCCGTCTATCACGTGCCCTACGGTGGAAGTGACAGAGTCATTCCGGCTGAATCGGGACGTTGTTAGAGCGCCTCTCCAGTAAGTTCAATGTTACCGTTAGCTTCTATGCATCCATCACGGTCGACTTATTAGTCGGCGAAACGACGTCGGCATGTACAGTCTCGTTCTGTCGTTGACCGAATGCCTTTGACCTACTTGTTAGGCGCCGAAGCGTGCCGAAGCGACATTATTTGTTCCTGTTAGGATCCAAAGCCTCCGCCTCCCTTTTGCGGAACATCTATCTTGGGACACTACGCCGCGCTTCAAGCGTACGCTCCGGGCACCAGCTAGTCTCCGTTGCAGATCATACAAGCCGCCGAGCGTCGGAACCAGCGTCATTGGATTGACTCCCTTGACCGTCCTCTTCTAGTCCACGACAAACGAGGACGAAAGGACGACTGAAATCTCTGGCTCATGCCACACTATGCGATGTGTCCATTTTCGCGGGAATGTGTACGGGCGGGATGGCTCTGCGATCCACGATGGGCTGTCCTGTTTCGTATACAAATGATGCAGCGACAAGGCGAATTTGAATTCTCAGGCGAGTACTAATGTGAACTAATCACCAGTATCCCCGGCCCGAAGACCTTTCCAATAGTTTCTCTCAGCGTCGTCAAGTTGCGTGAACAACCTGCTACTGTTTACCACTACTTCTCGCTCAACCGACGTTCTTCATGGTCACATCAAGTGTAATTTCCAACAGAGTATTAATCTGTTTCGCGCTTGCGGCATTATAATTGAGTTGAAGACTTCGATGATGGCCCGGTCTTGTCGGCTCTTGTGGTCTGCGCAGACTAGCTCAGTCTCAGTAAGGCGAGCGCGGATGAGTACATGGTGGCGCTTTAGATTGACCCGGACCAAGTATTTTCCTGATTCGTGAGCCTGCCTTTTGAATCATAACGAGTGAATGTGCCGTAGAAATCTCATTCTCAGGCATCTAAGGAGGCACGAACTACACGACGTCCAATATGTGGCGCAAACCCTACTCAGTGAATAATGAACAACCTTCGCAGGACCTCAAGCGAGCCCGCTCCTGGGGTACTACGTACAAAATGAGAGCAAGCTGCCAGGCCGATCCGCTATGATGGTACACCAGCCACCGTCACCGCAAATATAACGTGCAAACACTACATTTGAAGAGGATCGCCGGTGGGTATCAATATGCGACCGCTGTATCCTTGTCCTCGCTGTCTCGCCCACCGCTGTAGCGGTCGCTGCTCCATTTTGATTCACTCTTCACCTTCGACCCTGATGCGTCAGCGAGCTCATGCGACTCGACGTCGGCGAACAGCTGGACATTGTCGATCAGATCAGACAGCTGCGTCGGTAGAGGACGCACTACGCACCTGCGATTGACGGGTCGCTATGCCACTCATGTCGGTGTTCTGAGAGAACCATGTCGTGTCAGCAGGCGGAAAGCTGAGGCTCCTCAACCCGCCCGGCTCGCTCACCATGCCCGTGCCAGAGATCCTAGAAATGTCCCTCCGGCGGAGTAGCTCTTCGCCGACA